ACCAAAATAATTTTATGGTCGGGGGTCAACCGCAACATGAGTTGCTGTATTAAAGAGATGCAGCATTGGGAAGGTGGAGGACCACTGTTCTATGAGAAAGTGCATGAGCACTTCCTGAGCAAGCCTTGAGGAACAAGCCAGGAAGCAGCAGCCCTGGCCTCTGCGTCCCCTCCTGCCTCCAGCTTCTTGCCCTGTCTGCATTCCTGTCCTGTCTTCCTTTGCTGACGAACAGTGATGTGGAAGTGTATGCTTAATAAACCCTTTCCTCCCCAACTTGCTTTTGCTCATGGTGTTCCATCACAGCAATAGAAACCGTAACTAAGACACTCTGCTCTAGTTATTTTATAAAAATTCCAGAACACACTTATTGCTCAAATATTTTCAGACTTGGAGAACTCCCTGAGTTTCAGGCTTGAACCCATTTGGTCCAAGCAGGAGTGACCAGCCTTTTGGTATTTAGCATGGCATTGTCATCTACAAAGTTCATGTCTGAGAAGCACAATGGAAATCTATTTTTTAAGTTAGACAGTCTCATAATGTTTTAAGCCAATCTACGGTTTGCTGTTTGGCCACATCCAGAGCTCTCAGTGGCATACTGGCTTTCTGATGTCTGTCAGCTCACTCCCAGTGTGAAGCGAGTCCCTAAGGCTGTGTGCATGCAGCTGCTGGAGAATGTAGCTCAGAAGTAGAGAGCGCTTGGTCAGCATGCATGAGGGCCTAGGTTTGAGCCATGTTAGCAGGGCAAAATTACTGCATGCACGTGGCCCTGGGTTCCATAACACCACAAAAACACCATCACAAAGGACCCTGAAGAAACAGAGAGCGCAAACCCACAGGTACCTAAAGAATAAATGACTTCTCCAGCTCCTAAGCATGAACAAAGCAATAGACGAAAGCGTAAAATTTGAGGAAGGGAAGGACTAGGCAAGAGTAATTCCTCAGAAATCCACTCCAGATAAATGAGCAGGCTTCTTTCAGGTGTGATGGATTTGATTTCATGTCATATTTTAAAGGGGAAAATCAAAGCAAACCTTGGCAGCTTAGTTATCTGACATTTCAGCAGTGATTACCTTATACCATGGCAGAATTGTCATAGGACAACCAAAACCCAGGGGAAGCTCCGCAGCTGGCTCCCCTGCTTCCTTCTGCTCACACTGTTCCATCACCTCCTGATTGTGAATGCTCTAGTCCAGCGGTTTTCAACCCTCCTAATGCTTCAACCCTTTAACACAGTTCCTCGCCTTACACGGACCCCAACCATGAAATTATTCTTGTTGCTGCTCCAGAACTGTGATTTTGTTACTGTTATGAATGGTATGTGTAAGTTTTTTTGGAAATAGAGGTTTTCAAAGGGGGCGAAACCCACAGGTTGAGAGCTGCTGCTCTAACACATAGTAAGTATTCCCTCTCCCTAAGGACCCGCCCCGTTTCCATGGGAGAACCCCTTCCTGTTGGAGTCACCCTTCCTGTGGCAGCTCCCTCTTCCTTTGGTAATCAGCTCCTCCTACATCAGCTCTCCCAATTTCCTCTCGCTGGAATCACCCTCCTCTTTGCAATGAAACTGTGCCTTTTCAATGGAGTCAGCTTTGCTCTTTCCAGAAGGCAACTTCCAAACGATGGGCCATGTATCCTTCTAAGCCCTTTCAACGGCGTCTCTGTTCATGGAATTCCTTCTATCGCTTCCCCACTTCTCTGCTTCTTTTGATTTTACCATACCCTATAATCCACTTCCACAAGAAACACTATCGCTTTCAAAGACTCAGGATCAAGACTCATTCTTCCCTCCTTTACCTGCTAGAACCCAGTTCCCTTTGAGCCACCCTCGAGTTTCTCATCACCCCTGACATGCGCCTCCACACTTGATGCCTCATTCATTGCAATGGAGTTTTTATTACATTAAAACAATACAGGTTGTTGACCCCAAGACCCTGAACGCACTAGCTAGGCAAATGTTCTACCTCCGAGAGGCATACCCACGCCTCTTTATTTTTATCTTGAGACAGGCCTTACTAAGTTGTCGGGCTTGCATTGATAGACAGCAAACCTTTGTCTGATGAGCCACACACAGGCCCCAGGCTGGTCTTACACTGTAGCCTTGGACTTGTGATTCCTCTACTTCAGCTTCTGGAGGAAGCAGCAGTACAAACCCACACTCCCAGGCTCAGCTCCTGTTGCTCATTTAGTCTTCCACCTCCTCAGGCCACCAGGTAACATAGCCACAGACCCTTGTTGTGGCTTCTTTAGAGTATGCACGTTAACAGCAGTTGCCGTGACCTAGAACAGAGGCTCGCACGGGCCTCTTCACTCTGCTCCTCCCAGGGCTGCACCCTGTCAGGCAGGCTGGGGTGACAGCCCAGTCAGGCAGGCTGGGGTGACAGCCTGGGCTCCAGGCTCATTTACTGCTTCACAGCCTCAGGAGCGATTTCGGCTCCAGCCTCCACTCCACAGCCCCCCTCGAGGTGGGTGGGAACTTTAAGGAAGGCTTAATAGTACTCTCTCACCATGATGGTCTGGAAGCCACTGCCAGCTCTGACTCAGCCTGGCTCCCTTCTCCCTCCTGGTTCTGAGCTTTGGGTCTCAGGTCTCTAAGAATAAAACTTTCCCTGAAGGAAGAAGCTGCCAAATGTCTCCCGCGGCCTCCCGCACCACAGCCAGCACACTTCACAGGCCCTTTTCCCAGCCAGAATCTAAGTCGTCTGTCATTCTTTAGGAAGAGAGTGTCACTGTGTGGTCCTGGGCGGCCTGGAACTCACAGAATCCATCACACCCGGCCCTTCTTTGTATACTTAATTGGTGCTCCCTCCCAGTCTCCTCTTTCTTGATGTAAAAAAAAACAAAACAAAACAAAAAACCCTACTTTCCTGGTCCAGTTCTCATTTTTACTGAGGGAAAAGCAAGGGGGAGAAATGTGGATGGAATCAAGACCCTTTCGTAGGTCCCCGTCTCTGATCGGGAGAGGGGACCAGCTGAGCTCTGTGAGGTGGTGACCCCCGAGTGGACAGTTACAGCCAGGAGCGAGGGTGTGACGTGAGCAGAAAGAAGGGAGAGAAGGCCTGAGTTACTGCAGATTATCTCTCTTCTAACACAGCTTCCTTCACGAAGCCACCTGGCATGATGCAATTGCGGCAGGTATTTTGAAAAACATCCTTATTGCAAAATAAGGAAGCCGGGGGTTATAGAAATGACATTTTGTGTGCTTACTGGCTCGAGTTACAATTCTGGGTGTGATGCCGAGTAGAGGTGATGCCGCAGAGGACAGAGATTTCAGCACAGTCACCTCCTAGGGGAGTGCCTCAGCCCAGACCTTCTGTTTTGATCCTTAGTTTGCAGCTATCAGAATGGGAAAACCTGCTAAAGGTTCACTGTTAGGGCTGACTGCAGACATCAGAGCCAGGTGGCTGATGAGTGGGGAAGAAAGTACCTGGGCCTTTCTGGAGATAGCTTGGAACCAATCCCCTCTCTAGGCCCACACCCCCACCAGGTGGCCAGGGTAGTGCATGGTCCTGCTTAGGGTTTTTCTCTTGAACTAAGAAAACCCTGAAAGGCCCTGACTCCAGCAAGACCAAGAAAAGAGGGCAACCAATCCAGGAAGGGGAGATAGGTGCTGTGACAGAAAGACGGGGCTGGTTCAAACAGAAAGGCCACTCCTGTCATTTGTTGAGTGACTGATATGTGTTCAGCCTTGCAAAGGGACAGGAAATCAAGCGTTCATGTCAGGGTACCCAGGCAGACAGGCTTCCTGATTTAGGAAGGGGAAGCCAGCTCAAATGCTGCTCCCTGTGGCCGGGCATGGTGCGTGTGCCTCTAATCCCAGCTCTCAGGAGGCAGAGGCAGGCAGATCTCTGTGAGTTCAAGGCCAGTCTGGTCTACAAAGTGACCCCTCAAAAAAAAAAAAAAAAAAAAAAAAAAAAAGCCCTCATGAGAGACACCTCACTGGCTAAGAGCACTGACAGCTGTTCCAGAGGACCCGGGTTCAATTCTTGTGCACCCACATGGTGGTCCATAACCATCTCTAAGTCCAATTCCAGAGTATACAATGTCCTTTGAGTATACAATGTCCTTCTCTGGCCTTAGTGGGCACCAGACACGCACAATGTGCACAGACATACATGCATGTAAAATATATACAAATTAAAAAAAAATTAAACCTCTCAACGTCAAATGGTTAAAATAGATGGAGACTCGGTACCAACAGGCACCGTCTATTTCTGCACTAGAGCCCACTTTTCTCCTTCAAAACACGATTCCATGGGCTCAGGATCCCACTCCATCCCTGACACACATCCCTGATAAGGTCTAAGAAAACCCAGGCATCAGGCTGGGTATACAAGTGCTGTAATGGCAGCACTTGGAGGCTAGAGGAACAGGAGTTCAAGGTCAGCTTTAGCTACATATATTGAGTTTGAAGCCAGCCTGGATTGCAGAGACCCAATCATATATGGATAAATAAAGCTGGGCTACACACACACACACACACACACACACACACACACGCACACGCACACGCACACGATATATATAAAACCTAAGGCACTAATCAAGAAATCCAAATAAATTGCAAGTTGTGGATCAGTTTATCATCAGTAACCAAACATTCATAACTAAAAACATTTTTTTATGGTGGAGCATGATATCACACAGCTTTAATTCCAACACTCATGAGTCAGATCTCTGTAACTACAAGGCCAGCCTGGTCTCTGTAAACCCTTTGAAACCCTGTCTCAAAAGAAAGTGTACACAACAAAACCTTTTTTAAATCAAGATGTCTCAATCTCAAGTAGAGAAGAGTAGCTCTGGGGTAAGCAACCTGTGGGTCTGTATGGATCAGATTTGGAATGATGCTTTCAGGAAGCAGCTATTAACGACCGAGGTGTGATGGCTACACACACTGAGTCTGAAGGTAGCCTGTGTGTTCTGGACCACCCCCGAGTCCTGGGCCAGAGGAGAAAAGGAGCACTATTGCATATCCAAACACATACACACCTACCCACGATGCTTACCTGTCCTCAAAGCACACGGTGCATTTCCACGCCCGAGTCCTCCGCAGGAACACACGGCACTCGGAACACACTCGGTGGCTGCAGCCCTGGCACACCGCTCCACGGTTCAGCAGAAGGCCCAGGGCCCGCTGGCAACGCGCACAGCTCTTTTCCTTGTATTCCTGGCTGGAGCTCTTCGCCCCTTTCCACCGAAGGTGCTGCAGGTGTGTTTTGAGTTTCCTGTGACCCAGTGAGTTGAATAATGATTGAGTGGAGTAATGGTTACCTTTAGTTGTCAACTTGGCCTAACCCAGAATCATCTGGGAAGAGCCTCAGTAAGGACTGTCTGCATTGGTTGGCCTGTGGACCCATCTGTGGGAGACTGTGTTCAGTTAAACTGATGTGGAAAGAAACAGCCCACTGTGGACAGAGCCATCCCCTAGGCAGGGGTGAATTATGTGAGACCAGAGAAATGGAGCCGAGCAAGCAAGCATGTACACACACATATATAATACATATTATATATTTATATAAATATATATAAATTTTATATAATTAATAATATTGCTATATTCATGTATCTAGCAATAGAGGTAAAACTAGAACAGATAGGAAGACACTGGACTACAGCCAGGAGCCTCCACAGACCCTGTGGAGACAGAAGGCTTTGGTATCTGACTTTATGAGCTGGTCTCTCACTTAAAACACAGGCTCAGGATTTTCTGTGAAAATGGTACCTAATCTCCCAGGGTGGCTGTGAGGATTTCATGACAAAAGATTGCATGCCCATCTCAGAGGCTTCTTATGCTCTGTTCATCTCCTTTCAGAATAGAACCTTCCTTCCCAGTATCCATGAGGCTGCTACTATTCCAAATAGTCTCTTTATTCATCACAGAAAGTTCCATTTTCTCAGCCTATTATTATTTCAATGAATCAGAGCTTATAAGTATATTTAAAGGGTTTTGAAATAAAGGAGGGGCCAGGTATCTGGCACACCCCTTTAATCTCTGCACTTGGGATGCAGAGGCCGGCAGCTCTCTATTATTTCAAAGTTAGCCTGGTCTATGTACACAGGGAATTTCAGGGCAGCCAGGGCTATAGAAAGAGATCGTGTCTAAAATAAATAAATAAATGAAAGAAAAGAACATGGGGGGAGGGGAACTTTGTATCTTTGGTTAACCAGACAATTTCTCTCATTCTTCAAAAATTTTATCTTATACGTGTGGTATTATTATTATTATTACTATTATTATTATTGTTGTTATTATTATTGTGTGTTTTGCCTGTGTGTATGTCAGTGCATCATGTGTGTGCAGTGCCTGTGGAGGCCCGAAGAAGGTACCGGGATCCCCTGGGACTGGAGTTACAGATGATTGTAAACTGTGGGTGCTGGAAGCAAACCCTGGTTCTCTGGAAGAGCGGCCAGTGCTCGAACTGCTGAGCCGTCTCTCCTGTAACTCTGAAGCGGTCTATTAGAAATGCCTGTCTGCAGCACTCCCTTGCGCCAGGACTGAATCACCGGCTTCTTCCGTCTAAGCATATGCCCTCTCATCCAGCTGCTGCATTTCAAACATGCCTAATGGCAGAAAGATGACCTTGAACTTTTTTTTTTAATTAAAACATAATTATATTTCTTTCAATTGTGTGTGTGTGTCTGTGTGTGTGAGTGTTTTGCCTGTGTGTTTATATGTGCACCGCATGAGTGCCTGGTAGCCACAGAGGCCAGAGAGGGCACTGGATCCCCCTGGAACTGGAGTTACAAATGGTTGTGGGCTACCACTGGGGTGCTGGGAATGGAACCCAAAATTAGATTAGATTAGAAAGTGGCCTCAACTGTTGAGCCATCTCTCCAGCCCCGACTGACCATGAATTCCTAATCCTGCTCCTACAACCCAGGTGCTGAGATTTCAGGCATGCCGGTGAACGTGGATAAAAAGGAGCGACGTGTTTACAGAAGGAACCTCCCAGCTAACAGTGGGAGGCTCTGACTATGTCCAGAGCTGCCAGTAAGTGTAACCTCAAACCAAAGGGCTCCTGCAGCCCAGCAACCCTGCCAGGCCAGACAAGAAGCTCCTGTTGATAAAGGGGTCAGGAACAGGCTGAGCAGGTTCGCCATTCCTCCCTCCAAGCCAGCTGTACTGCACAAGTGCACAAAGAGAAGAGACAGAAACGGATCCCACCGCTTTTCTGGTCCTCACCCCCTCCCCTTTGTGCCTTCAGATAACACGGAAAACAAGGGGGGAGACCTTAACTGAAGTCTTCCCTTGGGGGGCTGCTAGAAGCCTGTCAGTGTTCCTCTAGCTACCCCCAAAAGTGGGCAAATGCACAAAGAGCAAACATCCTCAAAGGCACCTGTTCCAAAGAATCGTGAGATTAATTTAGTCCTATTGCAAAAATAATCCCCATCTCCACACCTTCGCTGTGACCCTTCTGGGCCAGAAGCTCAGCTCTGAGCTAGCAGTCACAAGAAAGCGGGTCACTCTGAACAGAAAACCCCAAGCCCCGCAGCACCGCCCCAGGTAGGAACGCTTACCGGACCCTTTCCTCCTCGACGTTTTGAACAGCTTGATCTCGATATAGGACCCGGAGAATGACCTCCCGTTCCAACTCCTTGAAGGACTCCAGGTCCACTTCATGGGCCATTTCCTGTCCCCACGATGGAAGAGCTCCACAGTCCGGCTGCTTCTGTGGATCCCGCAGGAGCTCCTCTCTGGTTTCAGCAGTGGCTGAGTTTGGCTTGTGGCGCGGTGTTTCAGCCCTTCGGAGAAGCAGGCTCCACGAGGCTGCCCCCCTCCTGGAGTCACTCCGCCCAGGGAGGGGTTTTTACTGGGCTCTGCCCGTTGATCGCCAGCGTATCTTTTTCTGAGGTTTTGCCAGAGATTGATATAAATGATGCATGGCTGCCGAGCAGATAATTTCTGTAAGGCGCTAGTAATCTCCAGTCCCAGGAAGTTCACAAGCAGCACCGAGAGAGCGCCAACGACTTACTGCTGCCAACTTTCCCCAGAAAAAACATGTCCAGGACAGCAGAAGCGACAGGGAAAATCCAGTCTGGATAACGGCTCAAAGACTGTTAAAAAAAAAAAAAATACAAACAAAACTAACGTCAGTTTCTCTGGCTTGATGCTTCTGCACCGATGGCATCTTTTCAACGCTTCTTGTCATTCCCAAACTTGGATTTTCCTATCAAGAATTCCAAGGATCTTCAGTTGTGAGAGGACAAGGACCCGTGTTTAATATTCCAAGAGATGAGCTGTTAGTCGTTCCTTCACCAGCAAACATTAGACCTTACCAGGTTAGTTACACAGACCCAGAAAGCCTAGCCTGCTGCATGCGGGAGTGATGAGCAGGACCAAACAAGATGAGATCAAGCGTGAGAGAAAATGCCACCCAGAGGAGTGAAGGGGGTGGGGGTTCTCAACCTTCCTAATGCTGCGCCCCTTTGATACACTTCATGTTGTGGTGATCGCCAACTGTAAAATTATTTTGTTGCTATTTCGTAATTGTGATTTTGTGACGGTTACGAATTATAATGTAGATATCTGATATACGCTCTCCAGTGGGGTCACGACCCCACAGGTCGAGAACCACAGTGCTAGAGCAGCAAATTACTTGGCAGTGAGTTTCTTTTATTTGCCTTTTAAAAAATAGAAGACAAACAGGACAAGTCGAAATTTCAACTGTGGAGGCTACAGAGTTGGCTAAGCTGGTGAACTGTCTGGCAGGGGGAAGACTGGAGCTTAGTCTCCAGCAGCTGGACGAAGAAGCTGGGCGTGGAGGCCCACACTCACAACCCAGGAGGTGGAGGCACGCAGGTCCCACGGCTGGTTGGCCAGCAAACCCAGCCCAATGGCTAGTTCTTGGCCAGTGAAGGACCAAGAAAATCAGTTTGGGGGAGGGGGAGAGGGTGATGTCTGAGGAGCAACAGCTGGGGCTGCCATCTGGCTCCCATTTGTTGAGCACACAGGTATACCTGCACATACATGAACAAACATCCACCTCACAAACACTCGCGTGCACACACACACACACTAACAACCATGGTGTGGTGGGCTGGAGAGATGGCTCAGTGGTTACGAGCATTTGCTACTCTTTCAGGGGACCCAGCCCTTGCTCCCGGCGCCCATGCTGGGCAGCTCACAACTGCCTATACCTCCAGCCCCGGGGATCCAAAGCTCTGGAGATCTGGCTTCTGTGGGCTCTACATTCACATACACAAACATACACTCACACATAATTAGAAGGAAAAATACACTGTGTTAAATGCGTTACCTTGTACCACAGTCATTTCTCATTGTCATTTATACAATTAGACACACGCATAGTTGTATGTGCTGTTCTGGCCACACAGTAGCTGTGCTCGTACCAAAACCACCGCAAACAAGCAGAACAAGACAGGAACTTCCCATCTCTGTAATAATTTTATGGGACCTATTATATATATATATATTATATATATGTTATATAGTTGTCAACTGAAACCTCTTACGAGCACAGGACTGACTTTACATCACCTTAATTGAAAACGCATTAGAGAAAAGATGTCCTCAGCTGTGGGCTATTGTTCTACAAGTGCCGTCAAAACTCAGAGACGCTGTAATCATCAATTAGGGGAATATGCATAACCACGGCAACCTCCACTTCTCAATTATTTATGTCCTATAATAGTAGTATGAGCATCGCTAGGCACCAGGCCCTCTTTCTGTTTAGTTCAAGTCAGAAGATTCTGCATGTCTCCATTCTATCTAGAAAGTTATAGATGACTCAAGCAATATGCTTCCCGTAAAGCCATCTTCATTTCCCAGCCTAGCGGGGCTTTAGTGGTGAGGTCCTGTCTGGACTTTGACAGATACATTCCTTTTCAATCCATGAATGATAAGCAGCAGGCCCCTATGGCCTATTCTCTTTCAACAAATGTGCTTAACCCTTTTCTTAATTTGTGGTAGTCTGTGGAGGTCTATGTAGTTCCGTGCATTAATAAAGTACATTGGTTATAAGAGAAATTGATCGCACCGAACTATTTAAAAGTTGTTACAGAAGCCAAGCATGTTGGTGCATGCCTTGAATGCTAGCCCTGGAGGGACAGATGTATCTCTATGAGTTTGAGTCCAGCCTGGTCTACAAAGCAAGTCCAGGGTGGCTAGGGCTACACAGAGAAACCCTGACTCAAAAAACAAAAACAACAAAAAAAAGGTTACGTAGTAGCATTTGTATTCATTGATACTCCAGATAATTAAGTCTGGCTGTGATGAAATGACTAGAATGTCAAAGTGGCCGTGATATAAACAATGCTTTGCTGTATCTATGGCACATGATGTCATAGGAAACCACTTGTGATTTCTCTCAGGAACAAGGTTACAGGTCTGGCTAATTTTACCTTGGCCTTTGCATATATATATATATATATATATAAAGTGGAAGGAAATGCTAAATCTTAGGTAAAAGAATAATGGAAATAGGGTCTGGAGAGGTCTCTCAGTGCTTAGGAACACTGGCTGCTCTTCCAGGTGACCTGAGTTCGGTTCCTAGCACCACATAATGGCTTACAACTATCCGTAGCTTCAATCCCACGGGTTCAATGCCCTCTTCTGGCCTCTGAGGGCACCAGACACCCAAGTGGTGTGCAGATATACCCATACGCAGAAAATAAAATGCAGTTTAAAAAGATTAATAAAGATAATGATGCTGTTTCCCCTAGGCCAAGGTTAAGGGCCAACAGGCTAAGGACTGCGGCCTAAGAGATTCTGCATTTGTTGGCTTTTCCACTGTAGGCTAAAGGTAAGATAACAGTTGTGGGGGTCAAATGGGAAAAGTTAAAGGTCTGAAATGGGACTGCTGGGTGTCTGGTCCCCATGGAGTACCCTTAGTGCCTGTTCTGGAAAGGCTTTCTACGTAGACAGCAAGAAACACGTGGGGACAGAGACTCCAGACTCTAGAGCAGCCACCTAGCATGTCTCTGTGCCATAGCCTTGGATCCCCTTGTTCCCATTTTTCAGATGGACAAGTGAACTAGCAGATCTCAGTTTCAGAGCTCTGAGTCTCCACAGAAAGGACAACAGAAAAGACCGTGCTGGTGACTCAGAGATGGTTCAGTTCATAAAGTATTTGCCTCACAAGCATGAGGACCTGATGTGAGCATCCATTATTAAAGGCCTTATCTAGTGGCGTGGCTTGTAATCCCAACACTGGGAGGTAGGCAGCAAGTTCCAGTTTTGCCTAGTCAGCAAGCCCCAGGTCCCAGTGAGAGACCCTGACCTGAAAGACATCGAGATGGCTCACCGGAGGAACAACAGCGTGTGCGTGTGCACAGGAAGGCATCTTCATGCGTGTGCGCTGGCACACTCAAGCACTCACCACAACCCCAGAACAGAGTGTGACCAGATGCTATTAGGAACAAGTTAGTATTTATGCCACCAGCTTCACCAAACGTAACCTCCCAAGCTCACCCCTAGCTGTCTTCTCATCTCTGCTAGTAAACATGCTGCTTATTCAAGTGCTGTTTTGCTTGATTCTCAGTTGTTTTAAATGAATATTTTTGTGCACAGCTCAAGCCCTGGATGTGAAGAGTTTCCTCTTCCCATGGCTGGATGCGTCCTTTTCTGGCTTGGGTCTCCAGCTTCTCTGCCAGGCAGCGCCCCAGTGAGTGCCGTCTACGAAGGATGACGACAGGGTTTCCACAGGAGGACCTCTGGAGCCCTCGGTGCTCATGCAGCAGGTGTCTTATGTCGTGTGCATTTCAGAAACACACAAAACTCTATTCCACCCCCGTCCTTGGCCAGCACTGAGGGAAGTGGAAGTATGTTGCTCAAGAAGGAGAACTCGGGCTCCGCCTTGTGGCAGGAGAGTGAGATTATCCTTTTTGGATGTTTACACAGCACCTTCCAAGCGCCAGGCACTATTCTGGGTGTTTGGTTTTTAGTTGCCTTTATAACCCTGTTCTATGACAAAAGCATGTAAAGAAGAGAATAAAGTCAGAGAGGCGTCAACAGTAAGGAAAAGGGGCTGGAGTGAAACAACCATTGATCTTCAGCATTAGATAGACTTCTAACCTTCCTAGTTGCCAAGGCAAAACACAACACAGCAGAAAAGCCAGAGGGTGCACAGAGAGAATTTCAAATATAGGCCACATGGCCTTCTGGTATTCAAGAAGACATAGAGACAATGGTTGGGCAGTCACAAGAGTGGGTATTCCAAATCCACATCCCTGTGGTTACTCTCAGCGCTTGAGAGTAACTTAGATCCCAGCTTCTTCATACATTCAGCCAAATGGGAGACTTTATTCTCATTTCTACGTATTTTTAGTATCTCAGGTACTTAGTAAGTAAGGAATATCAGTAAAGCCTTCTGTTGTTTGAAACGTGTCTTTGTTTGTTTGCCTTAGAGGACTGTCCTGGCTAGTTTTATGCCAACTTGACAAAAGCTAGAGTTATCTGAAAGGAGGAAACCTCAATTGAGAAAAAGGCCTCCATAAGATCTAGATGTAAGGTACTTCCTTAGTTGCTGATTGTTGGGAGATGGCCCAGACCATTGTGAGTAGTTCCATTCCTGAGGTGGTCCTGGGTCCTACAAGAAAGCAGGCTGAGCAAGCCTTGAGGAGCAAGGCAGTAGGCAGCACCACTCCATGGCCTCTGCACCAGCTCCTG